TACTACTATGTAATTAATCTTTTTAGATACTGCAGTTTCTTTTGGATCAGAAGCTGACTGTATTTCTTTTATCATCTGCTTCCTGATTCAGTACTGAAGGTTGTCAGCCATTTTAGGAATCAACATTTCCAACACCCCCCCAGTAAACCTTAGAAAGTACAAAACATGGAATAGAGCTTGAGTAGATACCATTTGTTAACTATGATCTCTCAAGAAAATGTAATACTCTGTCAATCAGTACAGAATATTTGATACTGGTTACTGGATACTGGAGCTTTTTGGTATTGACCTTTTAAGTCCTACTTTGTTATTAAAAAAAGCCAAAAAAACAAACACCAAACCAAAAAAAACAACAAGAAAACCCCACCAAACCAAACAACCAAACAGTTGAGCATGAAAGGATTAAGTGCTTAGTTGGGAAATGGCCCTGTTAATGTTACATAAAGAGTTAATCCTTGTCCAAGTAACAAATGGGGGTGGTTGTGTACTACATTTGAAGTTACAATAGCATGTCTAAATCTTCATACCCTCAAGTATTTTTCATACTCATAGTAGTTTTCAAAATGTATTTTTAATCTTCCTTTCTAACTTACAGTACTTCATTATTTGATATTTGTCATATTGTTCAGTTCTTTTACTAGAAACTTTTGACAGCAATTATACTGTTTGCTAGAAAAAAGCCTTCTTTCCTTAGGTACCAGTTAAAGTCTAAGGTCTTAGGTGATCTGCATCTTAAGTTAGCTTTTGATTTATTACTCTCTTCTCTTAAGAGCTGGATTATTTTATTGCTTTTTTTTTTTATTACAAAATACTTCCCACTATCTGCAAAACAGTAAAGTCCAGTGATTTGCTATTTGTTTACTTCTAATGTTGCAGGAAAAAAGTGTAGTTTTGTTTTTAAAATACTCTTATAATACACATAATATAAAGTCTATGAGTATGTATCTATACATACTTATAGGTATACAACAGGTGAAACATGCATGTTTTGAAGTTCTTGGTTCTTCAAAAATTAAGAGAATTTGTTTAATCATGTAGACTGATATTCTCCCAGCTTATTTGGGGTGGAAGGAGGAAGGTTTTAAATTTTCTTCAATGTTTAGGTTGTTGGGAGTTGTCTACTGGGAGTTTACTTTTATCTTTGGGCAAAAAAAAAAAAAATCGGAAAAACAGGGAGTTCTTTGCTGCCGTATCTTGTTTGTCAGTGCCTCCTGTGTGTACCCTCTTACTTGATCCTCTGGGGTAAGGAGCCTGCGAGATTGAGAGACATTCAAGCAAACGTGGCAGCTAATGGGGGCAGGAAGAAATAACGCTAGTAATGCAGAATTTAAAAAAGAAGCTGTTGAAGCCTTGAGTTGTTTGTTTCCAAACCTTGGGCTGGCAGTGATTTCTTTGCTCACCATTACTGTAGGTGTGATGATACTTCCACAGGTGGGATGCCTTGATTAAATCTGATTTTCTTTTCTTCTAGACTATACCTTCTGTAAAGCTTTGTTGGAAGATAGAGGTGTGTGCTGCAATGGTTACATAAATATTTCAGAGGACTGGAACAAGTTGTCAAGAATCTGTGTTTGTTCTTAATGCTGCTGTCAAGAAGAATCTAAGGCAAGTAAACAACATGAGTTTCATCCTGAAACTTCACAGACATTTTCAAAGGACAGTTATTTTGCTGGCCACTTTTGTTATGGTGAGCGTAGTTATTTCTGCATATTACTTGTATAATGGCTACAAACAGGAAAATGAACTTTCTGAAATCTCCTCAGAAGTGGAATGTGGTGATCCTCAACTGCTGCCGTACAAGCTGATGGAGCTGAAGACCATGAAGCCCATTGATCCCCTGAGGACAGATCTTGTAGTGCTGGTGTTTGTGGAAAGTCAGTACTCAACACTAGGCCAAGATATAATAACTGTTTTAGAATCTAGCAGATTTCAGCTTCACATTGAGATTGCACCTGGGAAAGGTGACCTTCCAGTGCTTATAGACAAAAATAAAGGCAAATATGCTCTCATAGTATATGAAAATATTCTAAAGTATGTGAACATGGACTCCTGGAGCAGAGGCCTTCTAGATAGGTACTGTATAGAGTATGGTGTAGGTGTTATTGGATTTCACAAAGGCAATGAGAACAGGTTGCAGAGCTTTCAGTTGAAGGGCTTTCCTTTCCATGTCCACAGCAATCTGGGTATTAAGGACTGTTGCATTAACCCTCATTCCCCACTGCTTCATGTGACTAAATCTTCTAAGCTTGAGAAAGGTCCCTTGCTTGGAAATGACTGGGCGGTTTTCCAGATTAATCATACAGCATATCAACCAGTGATATTTGCGAAACTAAAGACACCAGAAAACCTCTCACCACCTGCTACTGTAAGTGCTTGCTATGCCACGGTAATTCATGACCTAGGGCTCCACGATGGGATTCAGCGAGTCCTTTTTGGCAATAACTTGAATTTTTGGCTGCACAAACTGATTTTCATAGATGCCGTCTCTTTCCTGTCTGGCAAGAGGCTCAGGCTGACCTTGGATAGGTATGTTCTGGTTGACATCGATGACATCTTCGTTGGGAAGGAGGGAACAAGAATGAACACCAACGATGTACAGGTAACGTACGTGCACAGTTTAAAGGTCACTACAGCAAAGTGCTGGGGTTTTTTTAATCTTAAAGTGAATAGTTATTAATAGTTGGAACTCACACAGGATGCAGATCAGTAAGTACTAATGCAAACTTGTTTGGGCCTTGAGAGAGAAGGCTGCCTGTCTGGCTTTGAGTGGTCTCCAATTCCAGGTGCAGTAGCTCTGACTCAAGGAGAGTTCGTGCAGTCTTGCTTGTACCTGTACCAGAAAAGAATTGTAAGATAAGATGACTCACTAGCTACTACCGCTTCATTTCTCTCAAGTGACATGACAGTCCCTGCTGAGCAAAGTTCTGCAAACGAGTTGGTGGGCACCTCTGAATTCCATTCCTCTTACTTATATATGGAAAATAGTTTCCCAAAAGGAAACTGAAGACAACTAACTTCTAAGTAACTGATAAAGAAAAGGGGGTAAGAGTGGTAGTGTTTTCACACACACCATAACCCACCTAACACTTACAATTCTAAACATAATTGCAGCATGTTTAACTTTCTGGTCTGCTCATAGTTTCTATCTAATCCCATGCTTCAGTGGCATTTGAAAATAGCACAGGACTTCAGAGCTGGACCCAGGAGCTATTTGTATGTAATGTGCATGTTGCTAATCTTACAAGCAGGAGGTAAATGTGGTGAGCAAAAGTAAATGTCAACCTAAATTTTGAAGAATAGACTGTATTATTAGCAGTTTGAAATAGGTTTCAAATGTCAGGAGTTGGCTGCAGCCTTTCACCTTTCTTATCTGTTTTATGGCTCTTGCTTGCAAGCAGGGTTTGTGTTAATATTTTAAGAGCTTGTTCTGTCACTAAATGACTTGTCAATTTCATTTTAACATTTTAAGTTGTACATTCCTGAAGGTCATTTTTCTCTTTATTGTGCTGTTCAAGTGTGGGGATGGTTATGGGTCAGCAGGGGTAACATCTTAAGGCTATTTTGTGCTGTGTACCTTGCTTTTGTTTTGTGAAGGGTGCTGTTACAAAGCGAGTAAGTTGCTGTTTGTTGCCCTGTTTGTGCCAAGAATAGGGAGAATGTTTTGTTAGAACTTTCATAATGGAAAGAGGAAAGGCAACAACAGCACTGTATGCAGCTGATGGTCATTTTTGTTTCATTTTCAGTGTTATTATATTAGTCAAGCTGCCGTAACCCTGTATGTATATTGCTTCCTGAAACAAAAGGTTTGGACTTGTAGTTACAGTTCAGTTTGCTCTAACAGTGCAGCATACACTCTTATCCAAAACATTATCTGCACATGCAATCGTAAATAAGATATACCTTCTAGATAAGTAGGTGTTTTCGTTATGCAAACAAATTGCACAGGAGAGAGCTGGAATAAACATGAAACTCAATAAATGAAGTTTCGGTGTGGAACACGATGGCAGCATTTGAGTTAGGAGAGTGAGCATGCTTTGAGAATTTCCTAACTGAAATTCAAATTATGGGAAAGAAAGAAGGTCTGACCCACACCGCTGGCAAAACTCCCATTGTACTGTGGTTTCTGGTAACAAAATACGTGAAATACAAATATTAATAAATCTCTTGCTGTGTTATGCAGTAGCAGTTTGAAAGAGTATTTTTAGTATTGTTTCTCTTTGTGAGTGACACCTTAGGATTGTCCTTTTAGGATAAGTTAGGATGATTAATTGCCAGAATTACCTACCAGAAACAGGAGACTGTTATTTTGATTAAAGTAGATACAAAAGGGTAAGAGATATGTTTTGGGGGAATAACTTGCAGTATGTCAGAATGTTCTCTTCACAAAATAAAACTATCAAATTAAATAGAAATAGTATCAAAATGGAAATAACTTCTAAGTAGGATAATTTCATTTATACAGAACTAGCATGTTGAAACAGTGGAATCTGAAAGTGTTCTGATTCTACATCTGCTTAAAGATAGAATGTTCTATTAAACATGTTAGGGCTGTCAGATGCAATGCATCTTCATTACTGTTTTCAAAGGAGTTATTCTCTGTGGCACAATGACATGTGGAAGGAAAGAAATAAAATCAATTTGCAGTAGTTGAAAATCTGTTATTGGAAAGTATATTTGCAAGTAAATGACATCCTATTAAACAGGAGTGGTTTACTGAGTTCTGCTGCGCTGACTGTGAGAATTGTGCGCTGTGAGTGTGAAAATAGGTTGCTAAATGTAGGCTTTGTATAATTTCAGTGGTCAAGATTAACTCATTTCTACTCAGCTTACATTTTAAGTACTAGCAATATAGAATTGGGTAAAATGCTTATTTGTGTTTTAATTTTGTTTCATATGGTTCCTATTTAATATTTTCTCAATATGCTCCCATCTGTTAGGACTGTGAGCTTGCTGAGAGCAAGGCACATGTTCCTATGTGTGCTCTATTAATGCAAAATAACCTAAAACACTTCAGAAAGCTCCGAGCATCTAGTGAACCTCAAGAATTGCTTCTGCCCATTCCTCTAGATAGGAAAGAGTTCAGAAACTGGAGGGTTAATGCAGAACTGGTAGCAAAAATAAGCATTCATAATTGGCTGTCTAACTCAAGAAGACAGCATTTGTCTTGGGTCTTCTGAGGCAAAGATTTCTCTGTGTTGAGTACATAGAGCACCTAGGTTCACTTTAGAAGGACTGATTAATTGAGTGCCTGAAGTTCAGACCCAAGTTAGGTGAGCAAGTTGAAATCTATGCCTGTCCTGTTCTGTCTTTGTAAGAATTGAAACAGAGGTCACTGTAACAAAAGATAACCTGTAGGATCCTGCAAGTACAGAGTAGTTGTTACATTGCAATTCACAGGATCCCAGAATGGCTGAGGTTGGAAGGCACCTCTGGAGATCATCTGGGCCACCCTCCCTGCTCAAGCAGGGCCATGTCCAGGTGCCTCTTGACCATTTCCAAGGAGAGAGATCCTGATTTCATGTAAGATGAGGTTTTCCAGGGAATTTCTTCTGCAGATACTGAAACAAGATTTGCAGAGTGGCCAGAGTGGTTAATATTTGGACATTAGGTTAAACTGCACTTAAAGTTTATGAATTGGAGTTAAGCACTGAGGAAAATCATTAGCTTATGGTTAAGTGGTAGTTTTTTTATCAGTATTACATATTGACCTCAGAAGAGGTCAAGCCAAAAGCAAACCCTCTAAAATGAGTATCTTCTGTACCTCTGATGAGGAGGCAAAGTGGTGGGAAGTCAGCTTGGGTAGCTACAGTGTTAGGAACACATGTGTAAAGAGCCCTTCCAAAAATCTTTTGACATAGTTTTATCAACCTAAATCCTGTAAAACTAATGATTTATTTTATTAAACAGCAGATGAAGATTATTCTAGTTTGACCACAACTTCTTCAATTAAAAGAAAAACCAAACAAAAAAAAAAATCCAAACTTGAAGCTGTACCTCAGATTTGTAGACTACCTGCCACTGTATAAAATCTGGACTGATGGAACATTGTTCTTCATTGTAACATACTGAGTTGCTGTCACTGTTCATCAACGATAACCATCCATCTTCATAATTATTTACTTTATCTTCCTCTGGTAACATAGAAATAATACTAGAGAACATTTTCATAGTCTAATTGCCTCCCACTTTGAAAATAAGTTTGGTAAATCCATCTCAGTGTTCATTTTTTCAGTAACTTTTTTTTTCTCATCTAATGCCTATCAGACAGGAGGGACCATTATGCTGTGCCAATGCTATATTTTATTTTTCTTGTGTCTTTTAGAAGACTAAGAACCTTCACAGTGCAAATAATTCGTTTAAATAGACAAACAGAGAAAATCTATCTAGATATGAACAGAGTAAGTTTATCTTAATAGACCATGATTGTCCTGGCTGATGGTCTATTTAGTATTAATATAATTTCTTTTTAGCACAGTTGCTCTTTGTGAAATTTTTGTGACTATTAAACATCAAGATTTTATCCAAGGGAAAGGTAGCTGATAATAGAGGGGAAGTTAAATAAGACTTCTTTTTCCTGATGACAGTTTGTACACTGCTGGTGGTCTAAGCAATAAGCTGGTCCTTTGCCTTCACTTCCCCCATACATGTACTTTCTGTATTTCTGTAGGAGTTGATCAAATTTTCAAAAATAAAAATTGTAACACTGAAATTATTTTTTCCAAATAATTAATTGTGCGATCTCCTTTTGACTGCGTTGTCCTTGGTGTGTGCCTTTCAAAAGAAACATTTTTAGTTGAAGTCAGGGTGGGATCTCTTCATTTTCTTCATGTAACAAGCTTCAATCTGCAGTCTTTTGGCATTAGAGTTGTTGAAGAATTGGACAACAAGAGCTACGCTCTTTGTGTATCATCTGCACCAAACAATATTCTGGTAATGGAGAGGATTTAGCCAGAAAGCATTTTGGTTACCCTTGTGTAGAAATGACCTAAATATTTGCTTCAGAAGAGAGGCTTACATGTATTTTGTGATAAGGCAGAATGGCGAACAGGTTCAGAAAGCCCCAGCTGTCAAGGCAAAGGGTGATTCCTATCACAGGAGGAAATCTGAATCTGTAAGTTAATTGCTTCTTTGTTTATAAGATCACATAGCAGGTAATCAGTAAAGAAATGATAGATGTGTCATCAAATGTGTCAGTTGCAGAACCGTCAGAGATGCTCATGTCTGTTTGGTTGCACTGAGCCATAAATCTTCCCTCCTTTTGGGAGGTTCAAAAAAATCTTTTTAATCACCTTTCAAATGATATAAAAAATTAACTATTAGGAACTTTTGTTCTGCTAAATCATTTTACATTGCCAATCCATTAGCCATATTTCATTAGCCATTATTCACTGTGCTTACTATTACTGCATGTAATACTATGTGCATATATTTTCTGTCTTAATCTGACCTGCGGCTCCTAAGCTATTTTATATTGACTTGGCTGAAATAAGAAGTAAAAAGTACATTTCCTCCCTAAAAGGAGTTCCCCCCTCCAAAAAAAAAAAAAAAAAAAAAAAAAATTGGTGTTTCTGTAGTTTATGCCCTAGGAAGACTGATTTA